GACCTTTCTGCCTGCCCACTCTGTGATGTCCAAGCCAAATCTTTCCAGTAAAGCCAACACAATGGAAATTTGCTCGTGCATCAAGAAGTCCAGATTCAAGTGGTCCCACATTTAATTTGTACACCAGCAAAATAAATGATTGGTTGCCTTGCTCTTGTGATAACATGTTGTTGTATGTACATAATGAAAAGTAATCAGCTGAACAGAATGAAATGTAATCAGCTGAACATAATGAAATGTAATCAGCTGAACATAATGAAATGAAATCAACTGAACATAATGAAATGTAATCAACCAAACATAATGAAATGTAATCAACTGAACATAATGAAATGTAATCAACTGAACATAATGAAATGTAATCAACTGAACGTAATGAAAGGTAATCAGCTGAACATAATGAAATGTAATCAGCTGAACATAATGAAATGTAATCAACTGAACATAATGAAATGTAATCAGCTGAACATAATGAAATGTAATCAACTGAACATAATGAAATGTTATCAGCTGAACATAATGAAATGTAATCAGCTGAACATAATGAAATGTAATCAGCTGAACATAATGAAATGTAATCAACTGAACAGAATGAAATGTAATCAGCTGAACATAATAAAATGTAATCAGCTTAACAGAATGAAATGTAATCAGCTGAACATAATGAAATGTAATCAGCTGAACAGAATGAAATGTAATCTACTGAACATAATGAAATGTAATCAGCTGAACATAATGAAATGTAATCAGCTGAACATAATGAAATGTAATCAACTGAACATAATGAAATGTAATCAGCTGAACATAATGAGAGATGTGGCAACATCATGCTGACCGTATTCACTGACCCGTCTCACACCCACTCAATGAGAGATGTGGCAACATCATGCTGACCGTATTCACTGACCCGTCTCACACCCACTCAATGAGAGATGTGATCAACATCATGCTGACCGTATTCACTGACCACACCTCTCACCCACTCAATGAGAGATGTGGCAACATCATGCTGACCGTATTCACTGACCACACCTCTCACCCACTCAATGAGTGATGTAGAAACATCATGCTGACCGTATTCACTGACCTGTCTCACACCCACTCAATGAGAGATGTGGTAACATCATGCTGACCGTATTCACTGACCCATCTCACACCCACTCAATGAGAGATGTGGTCAACATCATGCTGACCGTATTCACTGACCACACCTCACACCCACTCAATGAGAGATGTGGTCAACATCGTGCCGACCACATTCATTGACCACACCTCACACCCACCCAAGGCTCGGTCAACCTCTGAGCCAAAGTCATTTTCCTAAAAGTCCGGCTGTTTGGATTTCAACCACTGACCTTCGGATCCACAGGCGAGTCCCTAGCCGTTACACCAGGATGGCTTCCTTAACATACTGATATTAGAACTCACATATACACATATACATGGTTACCAAAAAATGTGGTCCTCTGGGCAAACTCAGAGGTGCTCCATCTCCTTTAGCAGACTTGTGGTATTTTACAGACAAGTTGTCCACATGTGAAATCATGCAGGAATTGATAAAATATTGTAAATGTGTATTCTTCTTCATCTTCTGCCCTTTATGTAATACCCAGAATGCAGTAACCCCTAAAGTGACGACATCATCAGACAACTTACAACATCGTCGGACAACATCATTAGACAACTGACGACATCACCAGACAACTGACGACATCACCAGACAACTGACGACATGACCAGACAACTGACGACATCATCAGACACCTGACAACATCACCAGACAACTGACGACATCACCAGACAACATCACCAGACAACTGACGACATAACCAGACAACTGACAACATCACCAGACAACTGACAACATCACCAGACAACTGATGACATGACCAGACAACATCACCAGACAACTGATGACATGACCAGACAACTGATGACATGACCAGACAACATCACCAGACAAAATGACCAGACAACTGACGACATGACCAAACAACTGAGGACATGACCAAACAACTGACAACATCACCAGACAACTGACGAGATCATCAGACAACTGACAACCTCTACAGACAACTGAGGACATGACCAGACAACATCACCAGATAACTGATGACATGACCAGACAACATCACCAGACAACTGATGACATGACCAGACAACATCACCAGACAAAATGACCAGACAACTGACGACATGACCAAACAACTGATGACATGACCAAACAACTGACAACATCACCAGACAACTGACGACATTACCAGACAACTGACAACCTCTACAAACAACTGAGGACATGACCAGACAACTGACAACACCACCAGACAACTGATGACATGACCAGACAACTGACAACATCACCAGACAACTGATGACATGACCAGACAACTGACAACATCTCTAGACAACTGACGACATCACCAGACAACTGATGACATGACCAGACAACTGACAACATCTCCAGACAACTGACGACATCACCAGACAACTGATGACATCACCAGACAACTGAAAACATCACCAGACAACTGACAACATCACCAGACAACTGATAACATCACCAGACAACTGACGACATTACCAGACAACTGACGACATCACCAGACAACTGATGACATCACCAGACAACTGATGACATCACCAGACAACTGACAACATTACCAGACAACTGATGACATCACCAGACAACTGATGACATCACTAGACATCATCACCAGACAACTTATGATATCACCAGACATCATCACCAGACATCATCACCAGACAACTGATGACATTACCAGACAACTGATGACATTACCAGACAACTGATGACATCACCAGACAACTGATGACATCACCAGACAACTGATGACATCACTAGACATCATCACCAGACAACTTATGATATCACCAGACATCATCACCAGACAACTGATGACATCACCAGACAACTGATGACATTACCAGACAACTGACAACATTACCAGACAACTGACAACATTACCAGACAACTGACAACATCACCAGACAACTGACAACATCACCAGACAACTGACAACATCACCAGACAACTGACAACATTACCAGACAACTGACAACATGATTGAGGCATCAACTCCCAACAGCTAGTGCACCAGTGGCAGCCTCTGTTTTCAGATACAGGAAGCAGAGCTGGAGGCCGGCTGACTACCCAAGTAAGAGATCAACTAAATATCTCAGGCAGTGAATATGAACATCACGTAGCATACACAAAAAGCACAACACAGTCGACAGAAAAAAAACTGACTGCGAGTTCATCACTCAAGTGCCTTGCTGACTGGCAGGGACAACCACGCCTCTCCACAATCTGTGATCTGAGTGTGTCAGTTTGTGAGTTGACACCCCAGATCAAAAGGTTGTCAAGAATCTTCTCGTGCTGCCTTCCTCTGTCTCTCTTTCCACAGATCTTTCCAGTGGTCACACAATGTTCCAGTTTCCTTCTTCTCAAAATGACTGTCTCTTTTTTATGTTTGTGATAAGTGAGCTCCTTTCTTTTTCAAAACCTCTGGCTTGCTCTTTTTGTTTGTACAAGGAATTCTAAGGATTATTTTGTAAAACCACATATTTGAGACCTCAAGTAACTGTCTTGCGGCTCTGTGAGAACATAACATCCCCAAATGGAGCATAGGCTCATTTGAAAACATGTGTCTGGTGTCCTCCCATTAGCTATTGTTCTTTCGGCAAATGTGATCATTCCTTCCATTAGCTTAGCAACCATATTTTTGTGACGAGAAATATTCTTCTCTTAATCAACTACTTTCTTCCACTCAGCTACCATGCTCTCCTTAATTACTGTCCTCCCATTAACTATTGTGAGGAGTCACTGTGGCATTGGCCACTACATTTTTTTCAAAAATGACTTTGACTCTTGGGTTGACCCAGTCTTGAGTGGGTACTAGGTGCAGTCCTGGGAAGTAAAGGTGCCAGCATGATGATGACCATTTCATTCACCAAGTGTTGATTGTTCTACAAAACTATCGGTCTAGCCCTATATTCTCAATATGCCTAAAGGTGTGGAAAAGGGACCAATACTTAACTTACTTTTATTAACTATCGACATCCCATCAGATAATTTGTCCTCTCATTAATTACTGTCCTTTCATTAACTATTTTCCTCGCACCCATCAGATAATTTGTCCTCTCATTAATTATTCCTTCCATTAACTATCGTCCTCCCATCAGATAATTTGTCCTCTCATTAATTACTGTACTTCCACGAATTATCGTCATCCCATCAGATAATTTGTCCTCTTATTAATTACTGTACTTCCACTGACTATCGACCTCCCATCAGATAATTTGTCCTCTCATTAATTACTGTACTTTCATTAACTATCGTCCTCCCATCAGATAATTTGTCGTCTGATTAATTACTGTACTTCCATTAACTATCGTCCTCCCATCAGATAATTTGTCCTCTCATTAATTACTGTACTTCCATTAACTATCGTCCTCCCATCAGATAATTTGTCCTCTCATTAATTACTGTACTTCCATTAACTATTTTCCTCCTATCAGATAATTTGTCCTCTCATTAATTACTGCCCTCTGAAGAACTCTTTCTGTCACAAACAACGCACCACAGGGTTTTAGTATTTATTTCATATTTGGTCTGGGTGTGGACAAGAAATCTGGGCAACTATTTTAAATACAGTATAGAATATGCTGCATCTCTGAAAGTCAGACACTGATGCCTCTTTTCCGCTGTGATTATTTCACAAACTGAGTTTCTACTTTAAAACCTTCTGGGTTTGAGAGTTCACTACTGTCCCACTATCAGCTGTTGTTTTCACATCAACTTATCATCATGCTTTTACAAATACTGTCTTGCTGAGACATAACCCTGGACAAGACAGTGTCACAAGGCAAGTATGCTATGATTAAGACCTGAAAATCTCCACGCCTCATGTACTCTTGCACGCACACATACCCAGACATAAACACTCCCACAGTGAAACCAGACACGAGGACGAAACATGCTAGAACTTAAGGCTGCTAATGCTGGGCAGATCTGGCAACTTGATGTCTTTGATCTTCTGTGGAATGTTCATTTCCTTCATGGCTGACATAGCTTTGGCTGGAGCAGCTAGGAGTCCCGCCTGAGGGAGGAGGAAATGGCTCAACTTTAGACACAAGTGCAAACCAATGACAGTATCAACTAATTTTATTCTGAAAGTGTTAACAACTGGGCATGCAGGCCCGTTTAATACTGTGTCCTTTTAACTCTCTCTTTTTTTTAATAGATTATTTTCTTGATACAGCTTTTAACAAGTAAAGTAAACACTATCAAATGCAGCTAAATATTACCTACAAAGTACTCAGGTAATATTAAAACAATTTCTGATTGTATGTATAGGGGGTTAGTGTTATTGTTGATTTGTTGTGGAAGATGGTTCCAGTTTAGCTGTGGATGTCAGGTGCCAGGTCGGCAATGTGATGATGATGTTGAAGCACTGTGTTTGTACGAGATGACCCAGACATGAAAAGGTGAGACCAGACAAACTTAGCTGACACAGCTGCATGCTTGACCGAATTCAGGAGCAGCCCAAAGTCAGAGTGAACACTGTAGGGGAACAAAAGAGCTGCTCGGTGAAAGACAGGGGGAGATTGTGTACGACCTTATGACAGGGGCCTGTTATGACAGGGACCTTTGTTTCACAGACTGTTAGAATATAGCATGTTACTGACCAGTGTAGTGACCGTTAACCATGTGTTTTCGAGTAGGTTGTAGCTGTAATTTGTATTGTACAGTGTTTGATGACGTTATTCAGTCTTGTAGCGTTCTTGTGTGGGTAGGAATTATTCGTGCAGATTCTGTTACAGCAGTTGGTTAAGATTGTAATGAATCGGTTGTGGCAGTAGAATCTGCCAGCACACATTCTCTCTGTGTACACATTAGAATCCTTCTCTCAGGGACAGCGGCTTGGACAGCGCTCTACAAGAGATCTGTGGGTTTGAGCCCTGTGTTTATTCATGGGAACAGGCAGGAGTGACGAGTGATTGTAAAGCTGGCACAGCCTGCATTTCAAATAAGGGACAAATGCAGTTCTTGAGGCCAACTTCCTTTAGTTTATTTAATGCTCTTTGTACATTAAAGATTGTATGTGTGTTCCACGGGTGTTCGGCTTAGTGTGTCTTTACACAAATTCATCTGTTATCGGCCTGCAATACGAGCCATACATATCACACAATAAATAAGGTCACTAACAGGTAAATGTTGGAGAGAGAAAACCCAAAAGAGTGCACTTTACTAGACAAAATAGAATGGGAATAGTTCCATTTTATACCAAGGCTGTGAGAACAGAGCCAACCAAAAGTGAAGAAAAAGTAAGAAAGCTCAAAAGTGAGTTGTTTAGGAAGTGAGAGAGAGAGACTGAGCGAGAGAAAAAAAAAGAGAGAGAAAGAGTGGAAAGTTTTGTCCTTCTAACCAAGCCAACCAGCTCGACCCCTGTTTTATTTGTGTCACTGCTGTCAATGTGCTGAGTATGCCTCCTATCTCAAACATCATTTATGCATTCACATACCATGTTCACCACCTTCCAGCTGTATCCCTCACCTCCCAAATGTATCATTGACCTCCCAACTGTTCCCCTCACCTCCAAACTGTACCACCGACCTCCCAACTGTACCACGGACCTCTTAACTGTACCACCGACCTCCCAACTGTACCACTGACCTCCCAAATGTACCAGCGACCTCTGAACTGTACCACCAACCTCCAAACTGTACCAGTGACCTCCCAACTGTATCACAGACCTTCTAACTGTACCAGCGACATCTGAACTGTACCACCAACCTCCCAACTGTACCAGCGATCTCTGAACTGTACCACCGACCTCCGAACTGTACAACTGACCTCTCAACTGTAAAACTGACCTCCCAACTATACCACCCACCAAAAAACTGTACCACACAATTCCCAACTATAGCACCCACCTCCCAACTGTACTGGTGACCTCGCAACCTATACCACCCATTTCCCAACTGTTCCAGTGACCTCCTTAGCATATTGCTCACCTTTCAACTGTACCATCCACCTCCCAACTGTACAACCCACCTCCCATCTGTCACACCCACCTCCCAACTGTCACACCCATTCCCAACGGTCCCACTTACCTCATTTTTCTCCAGCTTGTTCTGTTCATCAATGCGAGTCATGATCTCCACCATGTTAGTCTCCAGCACCATTCCTCCCATCACCAGCTCCGACAACATGTAGTGAACCTGTCATGTAGCAAACCTATCATTGGACAGCCTGTCATGTAGTGAATCTGTCATGTAGTGAATCTGTCATGTAGCAAACCTATCATGTAGACAGCCTGTCATGTAGCAAAACTATCATGTAGAGAGCCTGTCATGTAGCAAACCTATCATATAGTGAACCTGTCATGTAGCAAACCTATCATGTAGACAGCCTGTCATGTAGCAAACCTATCATGTAGAGAGCCTGTCATGTAGCAAACCTATCACATAGTGAACCTGTCATGTAGCAAACCTATCATGTAGAGAGCCTGTCATGTAGACAGCCTGTCATGTAGAGAGCCTGTCATGTAGCAAACCTATCATGTAGACAGCCTGTCATGTAGCAAACCTGTCATGTAGAGAGCCTGTCATGTAGCAAACCTATCACATAGTGAACCTGTCATGTAGCAAACCTATCATGTAGAGAGCATGTCATGTAGCAAACCTATCATGTAGACAGTCAGTCATGTAGCAAACCTATCATGTAGACAGTCTGTCATGTAGAGAGCCTGTCATGTAGCAAACCTATCACATAGTGAACCTGTCATGTAGCAAACATATTATGTAGAGAGCCTGTCATGCAGCGAACCTGTCATGTAGTTAACATATCATCTAAATAATCTAACAAAACTATCATGAGTCAACATGTCATGTGATGAACATGACATCCAGTGAAACTATCAAAAAGTGAACCTATCATCTAGTGAACCTGTCATCTAGTGAGCCTGTCTTGTAGGAATTATCTCCTCCCTCCCCCCCCCCCCCCAAACCTCTTTCCCTCACTCCAACACAACAAATATCTAACATGAAAGCAAGCTGTCACACACTAAACCTGTCATCATGTGAACCTGTCATGAAGTGACTGAACATGTCATATGATCAATGTCATCAAGTTAACCTGTTAAATAATGTGCCAAACTATCACTTGTCATGTAGTGAACATTTTGTGGACAACTTGTCATGTAGTGAACCTGTTGTGTGGACAACTTATTATGTAGTGAACCTGTTGTTTGGTCAACTTGTCATGTAGTGAACCTGTTGTTTGGACAAATTGTCATGTAGTGAAACTGTTATGTGGTCAACTTGTCATGTAGTGAAACTGTTATGTGGTCAACTTATCATGTAGTGAACCTGTTGTGTGGACAACTTATTATGTAGTGAACCTGTTGTTTGGTCAACTTGTCATGTAGTGAACCTGTTGTTTGGACAACTTGTCATGTAGTGAAACTGTTATGTGGTCAACTTGTCATGTAGTGAAACTGTTATGTGGTCAACTTATCATGTAGTGAACCTGTTGTGTGGACAACTTATTATGTAGTGAACCTGTTGTGTGGTCAACTTGTCATGTAGTGAACCTGTTGTTTGGACAACTTGTCATGTAGTGAAACTGTTATGTGGTCAACTTATCATGTAGTGAACCTGTTGTGTGGACAACTTATTATGTAGTAAACCTGTTGTGGGGTCAACTTGTCATGTAGTGAACCTGTTGTTTGGACAACTTGTCATGTAGTGAACCTGTTATGTGGTCAACTTGTCATGTAGTGAACCTGTTGTGTGGTGACATTGTCATGTAGTGAACCTGTCACAGTGTGAACATGCTGTGTGGTGACACTGTCATGTAGTGAACCTGTTATGTGGTCAACTTGTCATGTAGTGAACCTGCTGTGTGGTGACACTGTCATGTAGTGAACCTGTCACACTGTGAACATTCTGTGAGTTGGACTATGAGATGCCATACACAAGCATTACTTTTTCTACATATAATTTCAACAAGTATTACACTTTCTACATGAAGTTTCACCATTACCTTTTCTACATGACATTTCACACAAGTATTACCTTCTCTACATGAAATATCAGATCCAGTTCACAAACATTTTCAAAACACTTGTCCAGCGTCTCGACAAAAACCTGATTGGAAACATCAGCATGGCCATGGTTACTGTCAAGTTGTAGACCAAATGACACATCAAACAATAAGTACACAACAGTCGAAAGCCACAGGTCATCACTGACAGCATCTCATATCCTCTTGTACCTTGTGGTGTACAGGTGAAGAATCATTTACAGAAATGGGCCAGTTTGTGTGCTTTGTAAATGGGAATCCCCAGTGACTCTCTCTGTCCACTTTCTGTAGGGTTGGCCTCTTCTTCACTCCCCACCTGGTCAGTACATCACTGCTTGCTGTGGTATACTATCTCCTGACATCTGTGTTATATGGCCAAATCATTTCACCTTCGTCTTCTAATAAAATCCACTGACAAAACATTACACAAAGCCACTGCCTATATCAGTAATTATCAAACTGTGCGCCGCAGTGCTCCGGGGACCCGCGACCACTTCACAGGGTTGCTGCAAAATATTCAAAGATACACGAGTTTTTTTTTTTTTTTAAATCTCTTACATAGGAATAGTCAAACTTTTACTTAGGTTGGGGTGCGTGGAAACATTTTAATTGAAAAAAGGGTGCCGCAACTAAGAAAAGTTTAGGAAACACTGGTCTATATGATGGCAAGCTGTAGACCACAAAGGTGGAAGAAAGGTCAAGGTCCCTTTCCCCCAACTGGCACATCAGACATATGGTGCTACACTCATGTTTTCATAGATCAAGTGGCACTCAGTGGTTGCTGTGGTTACCAGTTTAATGTATAGTTTGTTGTAATAACTACACTAGTTATGTAGCCGTAAATTCTTTCGTACCATCCTAGATTGCCCTTAAGGCGGTAAACACAGTCATGTGTAGCTCTGCTGCTTAATGGTAGTGAATGCATTTCACACTTTCATGATCAAGGAAAACCAGGATTCCATTTCTGCAGCTGGCGGTTTATTTAAAAACCTTCTCTCATGATTTTCACAGGACAGTACGAGAGTGACACCATGGAAGAGACTGATGTTCCCAAAGACAGCAGCCGGCAAAATGAAACTAACCTAGACTGTGCAGATGGCACAAAATTGTTTTAGTTATCATCATCATCATTATGCAGCAGGTCCTTTGCAGAACGTCGCTCTCATCACAGTCTGCCTGAAAGAAACCTGGTCTCTCGCCAGCTCTCTCGCCTTGTTTACTTTCATAATCAAGGAGTCACTTATATCCTGTGCCCTTATTTCGTGGTACCCTGCCTTCTGCTATTTTTTTTTTTTCGTATCTGCCATGGCGCTTGATAAGACCAGAATATTTCAGCTTCCTACACAAAACAAGATGCTGTTTATGAGCCAATCTTCCTTGATTTTCAGATCTATTAAAATGTCTGTTTCTTCTCTTTCGTGTCCATAGCGTTATGAGAATCTTTCTACAGAATTTCAGTTGAAAAGCCCCTAATTTCTCTCTTAAGGACTGGGAGATAGTCCATGACCCACATCCGTATGTTGCTACAGGAAAGATGGAAGATAGCCCATGACCCACATTTATATGTTGCTATAGGGAAGATGGGAGATAGTCCACGACCCACATCCGTATGTTTCTACAGGAAGATGGGAGATAGTCCCCGACTTACATCCGTATGTTTCTACAGGGAAGATGGGAGATAGTCCACGACCCACATCCGTATGTTTCTACAGGGAAGATGGGAGATAGTCCCCGACCCACATCCGTATGTTTCTACAGGGAAGATGGGAGATAGTCCACGACCCACATCCGTATGTTTCTACAGGGAAGATGGGAGATAGTCCCCGACCCACATCCGTATGTTTCTACAGGGAAGATGGGAGATAGTCCCCGACCCACATCCGTATGTTTCTACAGGGAAGATGGGAGATAGTCCACGACCCACATCCGTATGTTTCTACAGGGAGATGGGAGATAGTCCACGACCCACATCCGTATGTTTCTACAGGGAAGATGGGAGATAGTCCACGACCCACATCCGTAAGTTGCTATGGGAAGATGGGAGATAGTCCATGACTTACATCCGTATGTTTCTACAGGGAAGATGGGAGAAAGTCCATGACCCACATCCGTATGTTTCTACAGGGAGATGGGAGATAGTCCACGACCCACATCCGTATGTTTCTACAGGGAAGATGGAAGATAGTCCACGACCCACATCCGTATGTTTCTACAGGGAAGATGGGAGATAGTCCACGACCCACATCCGTATGTTTCTACAGGGAAGATGGGAGATAGTCCACGACCCACATCCGTATGTTTCTACAGGGAAGATGGAAGATAGTCCACGACCCACATCCGTATGTTTCTACAGGGAAGATGGGAGATAGTCCACGACCCACATCCGTATGTTTCTACAGGGAAAATGGGAGATAGTCCACGACCCACATCCGTATGTTTCTACAGGGAAGATGCATGCTCTCAAAAATAAAAGTTTAAGTTCTACTGATTTAGAATTTCTATGTTAAGTGTTCTGTAACCCAACAGTTAGAACACAGACCAGCAGAGACCAGCAGAGACCAGCAGAGACCAGCACGGACCAGCAGAGACCAGCACGGACCAGCAGAGACCAGCAGAGACCAGCAGAGACCAGCAGCGACCAGCACGGACCAGCAGAGACCAGCACGGACCAGCAGAGACCAGCAGAGACCAGCAGAGACCAGCAGAGACCAGCAGAGACCAGCAGAGACCAGCAGAGACCAGCAGAGACCAGCCGAGACCAGCAGAGACCAGCAGAGACCAGCAGAGACCAGCAGAGACCAGCCGAGACCAGCAGAGACCAGCAGAGACCAGCAAAGACCAGTTTCTACTGACCTGAATCAGATCAAGTATTCCTAACTCACTTTCCGAAGAGTCCACACAGAAAACAAAGTAAAGAGTGGCATAGTGTCGGTAGATCAGTCTGTAGTCGGATCCCCCGATCAAGCTGAAAAATAGAATGACAGGATTACAGCAAGAAAATATCCCCAATATGGGCAGTTACATGAAAAAATCCCAAATATGGGCAGTTACATGAAAAAAAAACCCAAATATGGGCAGTTACATGAAAAATCCCAAATATGGGCAGTTACATGAAAAAATCCCAAATATGGGCAGTTATATGACGAAATCCCAAATATGGGCAGTTACATGAAAAAACCCCAAATATGGGCAGTTATATGACGAAATCCCAAATATGGGCAGTTACATGAAAAAACCCCAAATATGGGCAGTTATATGACGAAATCCCAAATATGGGCAGTTATATGACAAAACCCCAAATATGGGCAGTTATATGACGAAATCCCAAATATGGGCAGTTACATGAAAAAATCCCAAATATGGGCAGTTCTATGACAAAAACCCCAAATATGGGCAGTTATATGAAAAAACCCCAAATATGGGCAGTTATATGACAAAACCCCAAATATGGGCAGTTACATGAAAAAACCCCAAATATGGGCAGTTATATGACAAAACCCCAAATATGGGCAGTTAAATGACAAAACCCCAAATATGGGCAGTTACATGAAAAAAACCCAAATATGGGCAGTTATATGACGAAATCCCAAATATGGGCAGTTACATGAAAAAACCCCAAATATGGGCAGTTATATGACGAAATCCCAAATATGGGCAGTTATATGAAAAAACCCAAATATGGGCAGTTACATGAAAAAACCCCAAATATGGGCAGTTATATGACGAAATCCCGAATATGGGCAGTTACATGAAAAAAAAACCAAATATGGGCAGTTACATGAAAAAATCCCAAATATGGGCAGTTACATGAAAAAATCCCAAATATGGGCAGTTATATGACAAAACCCCAAATATGGGCAGTTAAATGACAAAACCCCAAATATGGGCAGTTACATGAAAAAATCCCAAATATGGGCAGTTATATGACAAAACCCCAAATATGGGCAGTTATATGACAAAACCCTAAATATGGGCAGTTACATGAAAAAACCCCAAATATGGGCAGTTACATGAAAAATCCCAAATATGGGCATTTATATAAAAATATCCTCAATATGGGCAGTTATACAAAAATAGCCCCAATATTGTCAGTATTCTAGCCAGAAAATATCACCAACAAGACTGCAAATAGCAAAAATATTA